TAAGAAGCTAAAGCCACTTCAGCAGGAATCTGATCCCTGCCCTGGAAGTGACCCACAAGGCATGGCAGACCTCTCCTGACCTGCCCACTGCTCCTCTCAGCAGTGGACTCAGTCGGCCTGTTCTGCTCCCCACTCTGTCTCTGGTGAATCTTCTCACTGCCCCTACCCTCTGTCCTGTACCTCAGTTCTGTATACATGAATAAATAAATCTTTAGGGGGAAAGGTGAAGAACTAAGACACATTTCTCCAAAGAGGAACTAGAGATGATTAACAGGTGTATGAAAAATGTTCAGCATCACTGAAAATCAGGGAATTGCAAATCAAAACCACAATGAGATACCATTTCACACCAGTAACAATGGCCTACATTTAAAAAATAAACTAGCAACAACAAATGCTGAGGATGTAGAGAAAAAGGAAAGGAGCCCCCTTACACTGCTAGGAGAAATGTGAAATAGCCCAACCACCATGGGAAACTGTGTAGAGGCCCCTCAAACTACTGAAAATGGGTCTACCACATAACCAAGAATCCACTCACAGTAATCTACCCAAAGGACAAAAAAACATGAATTCAAAAGGAAACCTGCATTCCATGATTATTGCAGCACTATTTACAATAGCTAAGATATGGAAACAACTAAATGCACGAAAAGAGATAAATGGATCAAGAATATGTAGTACATTTACAATGTAAAATAATCAGTGATCAAAAAAGATAAATAATGTTGTTTGTAGTAACTGGGATGGAGTGGGAAGGGATTGTGTTCACTGAAATAAGCCAGAAGGAAGAAGAAAAATATCTGATGGTTTCACTTGTAAGTGGAATATAGGTAAACTAATCAAATGGTCAAGAAAAATCAAAACTTGCAAGCTGACCATAGTTCCAAGATCATCAGGGAAAGGAAGAGAGAGAGGTCAGAACAGGAGCAGGACAAGCACAAGAGACTGTATTGATGATTCATGGGTGCTATGGTGATGGGAGATTTATGGGGGCAACACCATGAATATTTGATTTAGGTGAAAAATTAGATACTGTACAAAAATAAACAGTGATGTAAGAATTTAGTTATCAAAAAAAGTAAAGTGCTTTGGAATAAATTTATACAAGGACGTAAGAGACCTAAATGCTGAAAATCACAACATTTTGCTAAGAAAAATAGAAAATGATGCACATAATTGCAAAAAATATGCCATGTTCTTGGGCTGGAAAAATTAATACTGCCATACACAGTTGCAGTGCACTCCCTTATCAATATTCAATAACGTTTTTCACAGAAATGAAGCATTCTAAAATATGTATGAAATGTTGAAAACCCTGAATAAGCACAGCAGTTTTGAGAAAGAACAACAAAGCTAAAGGCATCATACTTCCTCTTCAAACTATACTACAGAACTGTACTTCAGAAAGATGGTGATGGCATACAGATGCATAGTTCAATGGAATAGAATTGAAAGCCCCAAAATAAACCCACACAGATATGATAAATTAATTTACAACCAAAGTGCGAAGGATATATAATGGGAAAAGCATGGTCTCTCCAAAAAAATGGCACTAGAACACTAGCTTACATCATGCATGAAAATCAACTTAAAATAAATTAATGACTTGAATGTAAATTCCGAAACCATAGAGCTCATAGAAGAAAACTGGCAGCAGGCCCCTAAACACTGGTCTTTGGAACTTTTTTTTAGATGCTAAAGCAAAGGAAACAGAAACAAAACAAAGAAGCAAGTAGAACTAAATCAGACTAACAACTTACAAAGGAAATCAACAAAATGAAAAGACAGCCTATTGAATGGGAAGAGCTATTTACAAATTATGTGTGTGTTATGAGGTTAATATACAAAATTAAAGAATTCCTACATACAACTAAAAAAAAGTTCTGATTAAAAATACAGGTGGGGGCCCTCTCTAGTGGCACAGCAGGTTAAAGCACAGCACTAAGAAGCTAAAGCCACTTCCGCATGAGTTCGATCCCCGCCCCAGAGGTGACCCACATGGAGCAGCAGACCTCTCCTGATCCACCCACTGCTCACCTCAGTAGTGTACTTTGTCAGTCACTTTGTCAGTCAGTCTGTTCTGCTCCCCTCTCTGTCTCTGGTCAATCCTCTCACTGCCCCTGCACCTCTGGCCTGTACCCCAGTTCTGTATGCATAAATAAATACTTAAAAAACATACAGGTGGCCCTCCCTTGGGTCACCAGGGTTAAAGTCTCAGTGCTATCGAGCTATTACCAGCCACTGTGGAATGAGTTCAATCCCCACTCAGAGAGCTAACCCACATGGTGGAGCAGACCTCTGCTATCTCTCCCATTGCTCCCTCAGCAGTGTATTTTGGATAGATTGGCCTGGTCTGCTCCCCACTCCGTCTCTGGTGAAGCGTCTCATCCCCTGGCCCTCTGGCCTATATTCTCAGTTCTTGTATGCATGAATAAATAAATTTTTTAAAAATATTTATTTACTTATTCGCACAGAACTGGGGTACAGGCCAGAGATGCAGAGGGTGAAAGGATTCACCAGAGGCAGAGTGGGAAGCAGAACAGGCAGATCGACGAAGTACACTGCTGAGGGGAGCAGCGGGCGGGTCAGGAGAGGTCTGCCACGCCATGTGGTCACCTCTGGGGCAGGCGGGATCGGACTCATGAGGAAGTGGCTTTAGCTTCTTAGTGCTGTGCTTTGACCCGCTGCGCCACCAGGGAGGGCCCTGGCCTGTACCCCAGTTCTATACGAATAAGTAAATAAATCTTTAAAAAAAAAAATATATATATATATATAGGCAGAGGATCTGAAAAGCCACGTCTACAGATAAGAAATACAGATCATCTGTGGGGACATGAAAAAGTAATCATGTTATTATTAAGGAAATTAAATTAAAACTGCAATATCACCTCACACCTATGAGAATGGCTTTTATCAAAAAGTCAGGAAACAAAATATTGGTGAAAATATGGAACAAGGGAACCTTTGCACATTTTTAGTTGGGAAGTAAACTGGTACTGCTACAATGGGGGGGAAATGATGATTCTTCCAAAACTTATGAGTAGAAATACCATATGACCCAGCTATTCTACTTCCGGACATTTATCTAAAGAAAACGAAAAGATGTATGCACCCCTGTTTTTACTGCTAGATCATTTCAGTAGCTGAGATTTGGAAATAGCCAAAATGTCCATCAGTGTATGAATGGATAAAGATGTGGTGTATGTACACAATAGAATACAAGTTGGCGAATAAAAAGGTGAAATCTTGCTACTTTCAACCTCCGTTAGGACCTAGAGGGTATTATGCTAAGTGAAATAAGTGAGGTGGAAAATGATAAGTACTGTATGATTTCATTCATGCAGAAAATAAACAAAACAAAAACATTTTCTTATATTCTAATAACAAAATGTTGCTATCCAGAGAAGAAGGAATTCAATAGAGGGTCAGCTCTATGGTGGTGAATGGAAACTATATTTTTGGTGATGTTCATAATCTACTGTTCATAGATGTTGAAGTACAGTGTTGTACACCTGAAACATACGTGTTATAAACCAATGTTACTTCAGTCCCACTTTTTAAAGACATGTTACAATGCAGTATTATTCAACCATAAAAAAAGAAGAAAATTGAGCTGTATGTGACATTGGTAAGCTAGAAGTTACTATACCAACATTTTCACCAATAATATCTATATATTTTCACCAATAATATGTAATTTGGGAGTTTACCATAACAGAGGTCCGTTGAGGGGATGCTGCATGTCACCCTTATCGCTTTTGACTGAAAGAAAAGATTCTCAAGGCAGTGAAGGGGCTGCACACAGGTTTCACTTCTTAGTGTCTCTAGAGAAAATGCTTTTCAGTATGTTTTCTCATGAGCAAAATGGAAGTTTCAGTAGCAGCTGGAAGGATTAAAGTAACACAGAGAATGTAAAGTATTTAATGAATTCTTCCATAGTGTGAATAATTTTAATAATGTTTAGTGTTATTTCCATAGAATAACTGCCTCCTGCAAAGCTCTGTTACCTGTAATTAAAGTTCCTCTGATGTCAGTCAACAAGTTTGTAATGTCAATACATAAAAAATACAGTTTCATATATATACTCAGCTCTGTGGTAGGGTAGGAGCCCATTGTACTGTTATAAAATCAGTATAAATACAATTTCTTAACTCTAGGTGATGTTCATCAGACATGAGATTTCTGGAGGTGTGAAATTCATCACAGGAAAATTAGTAAGAAGGAAGGGCTACGAAATTTGCTATAAAAGAAAAGGAAGTCTTTTAGGTGAAAGGTGAGTATGGCGACAGGACAGACCTGGAAATTTTAAAAATTGAAAATAACAGTTACATATGTGTGTATATATCATGTTAAATCACTGTCATGTTTGACCTCACTGCTGACCTCTTCATCTTGAGACAGTCTTTTGCCTATGAAATATAGTCCCTCCCACAAAACCCCTGGACAAAATAGTTTCAATAACTACTATACCGCATGGAATCTGATCATCTGAATATGGTTTTATTTTTGGATTTCAGAATTCATTTCAGGAATGCACATTATAAGGAAAATTAGAGTAATTGATTGCATGAACAATTGTCCTCATAAAATAGGACAATTGAATTGAAATGAAAATCCAAGTGATAGTAATAAATTCAGGTACATATAGTATTGCATGTCAAAAACTTAGATGAAAGATGGCATGTCTTGAAAAACTAAAGTCAAAAATTCAAGTCAAAAGGTTCATATGAAGAGTTCAAAAGAAATGTGAAAAAGTAAAAAGCATTAAAATATATTTTAATGCTAAATATATTTTAGCTAAATAAAACCTTAATTACTAATAGGAATAGAAGTGGGAGAATCCCTCCTTCCACATAAGTATGGTTTTGTAGACTGTATAGTCCTAGCAGACCACTGAACTATCAACTTCAGCTTCACCTTTGATTCACTAAGTTTCTCATTTCCACTTGGTGCCTGAGATGTTTCATATAAACATTTGGCTTCATCCTCTCTCCAGTTGTCTATGTCTCTGGTTCTTCCTTTCCCGCTCCTTCTCCCTCTTCTTCTCCCTCTCCTTCTACTTGCTCTCCCTCTTCTGGGGCCGCCGCTTCTGGGGCACCCTCTTCTGGAGGACCCTCTCCTAAGGAAGCCTTTGTAGGTTCTTCTGGGGGCTTTTCTGTAGGTGCTGGAGGAGGTGCTTCTGCACCTTTACAAACAGAGATGATACAAATAATTGCAAAGATTAATAGTATGATAACACCTATAATACCAAGTATGACTGCTGTGTCTAAGAGTCTTTCTTCTTTTTGGACATTCTGGGTGAAGTTCTGACCATATCCTGGAGCAGGTGTTTCTTTGCTATCTGTAGGAGAACCACTGTCCACACTGCCTCCATTCCCTGCTAATTTGCAGTCAGGGGGTGCATACCCATCATCACAATGGCAATGATTTAAATTGTTACAGACTCCATTCCCATTACACATATCTATTGATACACAGTCATTTTGGATCTCAGTGTAATCAGTGCAGGCTGAATTCATGCAGACTTTATTTGGGGCACAGTAAGTGCCATTGATCACATCTCCCTCATCAGGGATATCAGTGGTATTGCTGTAGGCATCCAGACTCCAGCAGAACCCATCTCCATGAGGAACCTGAATCAGTGTATGCTGGGGTTTGATTACTGGCAGTTGCATAACACCAGTACATACAAGTTTCCCACAAAGCATGTTCTCATCTGAACACTTGACATAGGATTGGTCAGTTGCTGTGGGACGGCCACAGTTCCCAAACCGGTTCCCTTGGCTGTTCAATGATGTGTAACATTCTTGTGGAGCAGATGATGCACTAAACCCATAAATATTTGCACACTGATTATCGTGGCTTCTGCATGAACCATTAATGCAATGGAAAACTCTTTGACATAAACTACCATCTAGCTTATAGGTATCACTAGGACAAACACTGGAGTAACCATCACAATATTCTGGAAGGTCACACTCGCTCAAAGCTGGACGGCAAGTGAGACCCTTTGGTTGAAATTTGCATTTCTCACTACAGCAGGGTCCAGGAACACATTGTGCTTTTCCCTTAAGCTGACATTTATCTCCACAGCATGGATCATCAGCACATTGATTACCACAGTCACACTGCTCACCTGATTCCAACACACCATTTCCACATACAGAATCCCTACGCCTGCGGCCCTGGTGCTGAGGCTTGTTGAACAGGCAGGCCGCTTTGTGTGTGTGCAGGAACTGGTAATAGTAGTCAGAGCTGCAGTTGCTGAAGGCACTTTCTTTGGTGACGTTTTCATGCATGAGGCAAAAGCGCTGATCCCCGCAAATGCAGGCCATGTGGTCGTGCTCAATACCCAAGTTGTGCCCGAGCTCGTGCACCAGGAGTGCAGCGGACAGGAGGGCATCTTCGTGGTGGAAGGATTCCACAGCTGCAGCAAACTCACTTGAGCAGGCACCACCGAGAAATGCCCTCCCCGTGGCCTGTCCAGGCTGACGGCCAGCGAGCATGTGGGCGACATCATGCTTCACACGCGGGAAGAGCTCCTCTTGTCTCCAGCTGTTGAAATTCCTGAGTGCAACTCCCAAGTCCTCAGGCACCTCTACGAGGTCGCCCTCGGTCCACATCTCCACCCCGGCCAGCACCACCTCTGTGTTTATCCCCCTCGTGAAGCTGTTGGCCAGGGCAATGATGTCCATTACTCTCCGCACGGTCTCATTGACGTCACTGCCCCACATCTGGAACCGCTGGTTGCTGACCACCACAAACAACTCCACGTACTTGGTGTGTGACCACAGGGAGGACAGCGTGTGCGGGCTGGGAGGCCTCCTGCCCCCTTGCTGCCAGCTGGCGGACGCCCCTGGGCTGGCTTTGGAGGTGACGGCGCAGGAGACTCGCGTTTGCTGTGCCATGGTGAACAGCACATGTTGAGGCCCTTGCGAAGGCTCCATGGGCTCAATGCCATAGGCTTTCCCGTCCTTGATGAGGATGCCCCTGAGGCCTGAACAGGTGTTCACAGAGACAAAAGAACCTGGGGCACCTTCTATGTAGCCTTCATAGTGGCAGTCCCGTGAGACGGAAGGCATTTCTTGCCCCAGGATGCCACTGTGGTAGCTGAAGACAGGAAAGTTACTGACAAAATAGTCTCTCTTCACCGTCAGGTGAATCAGCTGCTTCTGGCCCTGCACAACCAGCACGTAGGAAGCCTCTTCCCCGGGGTCTCCCGTCCGCTCCGCCGTCAGAATCGTGGGGGTGACTATCTCATAGGAAGAGTCGTGTGCCGACGCCAGGCCACAGCCCCGGCCTGGCAGGGAAATCACAACCAACGCCAGCACGATCCCCCACCTGACACAGGACGGTCTTGCCGCTGACCCTAACCTCAGGACCTTTTCCTGCAGCGTCCGAGTCGGAAATTTTATCTTCCCATCCTTCAAGGGCTCCAGGATTTCCCATAGAGAAGGCAGTGTAGAGGCAGGGTCTGTCCCAGAGGCTGCCCCTGTCATAGTCCTAGCGAGTCCGTTGATGATGCCGGGCCTGTGTCCACCAGCAGCAGCTCTGTCTGACACACGGGCCCTCAGCCCCAAGTTCAGTCCAGAGCTGTGCTGGCTCGAAAGGTAGCTTCTACCCACCTCTGAGAGAGAAGGCTTCTGGCTGTGTCCTTCTAGTCCTTCTGGTCTCTGCTTCTGATAGTGCCCTTGTCTGTGACTTTGCTCCCCAGCATCAGTGTCAGTGTTCCTTGGCTAAAGTCCTCTTGCCATCACCAAGGATTGTGACCTCTATAATGCTGGACGGTACCATGAGAGAGGAAGCAAAATCTCCATGCCCCCTCAACTGTGCCACCGGAACACCCCTCCCCCACCCCTGCATCCTGTTGTCCGTTGCTGAGCTGACTCCAAATGTTCCACCCAGGGACTTGGAGACCGTGGTGGACACACTCTTACCACACATTTCCCTCTTTTAAAAACTAACCCCAAAAAGCCTGTCTCTAGTTCTGGCATCATAACCATGGTGTCCCTTATTCCTCATGAGTCACTGTAGTGATCTGCACATCTCGCCAGACAATCTGTTACATAAGGCTAATTGGCTGGTGCGCAGCCCCCAAAGGAAGACATCAGTGGGCCTGTGTGATCCAAGACTTCAGTGGGCCTGTGTGATCCATGAGGCCAGGACAATGCTCTTACATTTAAATACCATCACAATTCGTTTCCTCAGGTTCTGTTTGTAGCAGTGTCCGGGAATGTTATGGCAGGTGCTACAGGCTGTGAGCACCATTGTTGGTGTCTCCCAACCACATCCTTCTTGCAGTGTTCCTGACATAGGGGGATCCTCAGATTATGCCTGTCGATACTGGGTGTCCTCAAAGTCTACCCAGTGTTTGGCTGTGACCTCCCTGTGCTCAGTGACCACTCCTGTTTTTGCTCCTTATGACCCAGACCTAGAAGAGTTCTTGTGTTAGGAACACATGAGTGGTGTATTTGTTGGCTGAATAGGTGGCTCCCAGGTGTGAGTACAGTGATATTTTATCTGTCGATCATTATTTATTGTATTTGCTGTTGCCTTCCCTGAATGGCCACATGGGTTCAGAAAAGTCAACTGTTCCAATTAATGGCACAGTTAACTTTCCTAACATTTTCTTGCATTCCATTTCTCTGAGAAAACAAGAGTCTAGACGTATCTACCTTTTCCTGTGGCTACAGTGGATATAGATTTTTCCCAATTCAATCTGAGAACAGACCTTGCACTTGAGAATGGCATCTCCTTCTATGTCACTTTCTTATGGTTTCCACGTTCTGATTGTCCCTCGTTTAAACACCTCCTGTCTTTTGGAATCATTCTCACATGCTCTACTGTCTCGTCTCTGTGACATCGTCCCTTTTCGTCCTCATATCTACAGTCACCATCCAGTTTTTCCTGTTTTCCTATGAAACTCGGAGAGTGTGTATTTACATTCTGTTCTCATGTACGTCCCTACTTTGCCTCTTCTTTTTTTTTTTTTTGAGAATTCTTTAATTTGAAAGACAGCATAATGGCAAAACATGTGTAAGTCATCAGTGTATTTTTCAGGCAGTTGTTAAAAAGAGAACAGCAAGGCCCAGCAGAGAAGACATAGTTTATAATATAATTTGTGAGGTTTATCTAGTAATTAAATTCATAAAGACAGAAGATAGAATGGTGATTACCAGATGCAGGGAAAAGAGTAATGAGAGGTTAGTGTTCTTTCATGGGTTTGAGGTTTCTGTAGGAACAATGAAAAAAATTCTGTCAGTGGATGGTGATGATGGCTGCATACCAGTACTACTTAGTGTTACTGAATTTTGACTTAAAATTGGCTAAGAGAGAAAATTTCCATTTAGGTATATTTACTGCCACAAAGATAGTGCAGCTTTATGCGATTCACCCTGATCAAGTACTGAATTGTTAATGAGTGCCCTCCAACACGAGTATTGGTGCATCCATGGACATTCCTCAGATCCCCCGAATATCATGGGGTGATGAATTAGGTCAAAGACGGCCCTTTGTAAAGCCACTCACAGTGCAATACTCTTGCCCTTGAGCCCTGTCTTCACTCTTCTGCTCACATTAAATGCCACTACCCTGCTAGTCTGGGGTTCTCACATGCTTTAAGATTCACCTGACGACTCACATCTGTCCAGGTTTCAGTTGCTTTTTCAGGGGAAGTTAGTTCAAAACCCTTTTCTGACATTCAGACCACTTAACGTGTTTTCCTATCCTGCAAACCTGAGAGTCAGGATTAGGAAAGAAACTAAAAATCAAAAGGAGCCTACAGAAAACTTAGTACTGCTGAAGTTTTATATTATTTGTCGTCAGGCATTGTGAAATCCTAAGTAGGTTTAATGACCTATTCCCAATTACCTACCTGCCTTTTGATCTTTAAAGAATGCCCCTACCTAAATCACTATTTTCCCTACATTTGAACAAGTTTTTAAAATATGGGAGGCTTCCCAGCTTTTACTATCATCACCACCCGCATGGTGTCCTAACTGGGAAGAACACCCCTGTTGTTCCCCACTGACGCGCTTCCGTCAGGCATCCTCCACATCTTTTTCAAGTCTCGAAGGACACATGTGTAT